TATATATATATATATATATATATATATATATATATATATATATATATATATATATTGAATGACAAATTTATAAACTTCGTGCATAACAATCTACTTTATTCCATCTTTCCAATAGAAAATACATCGGCTAGCACTTTTCTTATGTCAAACGTTTTATAGTTTCACCATTAGTAGCCTATATCGGAGAAAAATCTTCAATTCTCCTGTCCTCTGAATAAGTATCTTAACGGTATTTTAAAAATATATTATTCTCCAAACAAAACTCATTTACATCTGTTGCATATTCTGACCTGAGATTAAGATCATTCTGTTTTTGAAGGACAAAACCGAAAGTAGGACCAGAAACTGGTCCAGTCATTTCTTCCATTCATATACCTTGTAAAACTTTAATTACTCATCGATTTTTTGGAATGAAATAAAGATCAACCCTTCTTTCTTCCCTATACAGCATGTATTAGTATGCAAAGTATAACCTTTAAAAAAATTAGATGAACTTGCAAAGCCAATATTTTCATGAAATCGTTACTGCATTCGTTTGATTGTAAAAGAACAGGATGCTTCAACTATTAAGAAAAAAGGTCCTTCTTCGCCTTGTTGGAATGTCATTGGTTGAATATTGTAGACACCTGCCGGTACCCCTTCCAGAGCAAGTACGGTGTATCCCGGTCTAAAATTCCCAGCAGTTAAACAGCATATAAAAAGAGAGAACTAAAAACAAAGAAAGAAAATTCAAACCTGAATGCACCTGAACTTCGTCTTTCAAATGCTTTATTCCTTAACGAAGAAAGCTGTTTAATTTCGAAACCAATACTGTACTGTTTCGGACCTTTCAATTCAACAAGTACATCATTGTCATCACTACCATCATCCAAACTCAGTTGATATATTGGATTGTTCCTATAAAAGATGCATAAACCATTATAAGTGTTCAAGACAGACAGCAGGTCATTGTTCTTTTCATTAAGAAAATGAGAAAGGACCAATATAAGTGAAACTGACGCACATATAAGTTTCTCGACTTGGGCCATTACCACAACCACCAGCCGTTTTTCCTTTCCATTGGCCAGTTTCCTAAAACAGTAAAAAAATATAGTATTTCAAGAGGCGTTTAAGCGACTTAGCAGGAATATTAACGATAGTAAAACGATATTACCTTTTTCTTCGAAACATAAGGCACTTTCACTTTGCGCAGGTGGAATTCAGCTGTAGAATATACTCGTAAAGTATAATAAATTGTCTTCATCTTTTCATACTATAAAAATAGCAAGTTGACTGCATCATTGTATAATAATATACTCACTATTATCTTTTTCTTTTACTTTTTACTTTATATCTGGCATTGGTTAGTCTCAACTTCTACTTTACGTTTTGAAATACTTGAAGTCCTCCCATTGGGATTTCTGCAAATTAATTAAAACATATTGATTTTATAGCATTTCTACCATTGAAATAATTTCAAGCATATCAGAATACAACTTTTTGGTCTGACACATAAGTTAGCCTACAGTTTTGAAGTAAACTATTATATATTAGAAACAAAACCTGATTTTATGATAGTGCTTAAAATACACCTCATGTGAACCCAGTAAGTAGATATTCTTCAGTGAAAAAGGAACTACTGCAAAAAGAAACAAATGTATTCAGAAGTTTAACCTGAGCAACAACTAGAGTGTATTTTTGATAACCACATTCAGAAATGATCATTTGGCATAAATAGTGAGGGCTATTCAATCGCACTGCATCCATGATTGGCTTTGGATCGGCTGAAACTCATGTGATACCAAGTCTAAAGATTTTAAGAAATTTAAATGAAGGGCTGGAAGATATTATATTTGTATATAACAATACACACACTTTTTTAGACTTGCAGTTTCCTAATTATTGGAACGTGAAGTGATGCTTCCCTGAATCAGCACTTTTTTATTATATATAAATATAATGCTGGGATATCACCGAAAATCTGACATGGTATGTAGATTTTCCTCCCTGATTTGTATACCATTATTGTGATATATTCTTTGTTGTTAGCAAAATCATTCTGAAAAAAGAGGAATTATGATTCCTGAATTAAATCAGCTTCGTATTTAATTCAAATCCAACAAAACAAAAATCTGAAAACCGGAAGTTTGAAAAAAAATCTAGGAAAATCTGGTATAAAAAATTTGGGAAATTTCCGAAAAATCTGAAATTGCCTAAAAAAATTTGAAATCTAAAGCTTTGACTTTATCTGTTATATGACGTGTAAGCAATATCCATACTGCAGTGGAGCCATTACTATTTACTTCCAATGTGTATTGAGGATTTTCTCCTATACTATACAAATCTTTTATTGGTCCCAAGCCTGCTGACCACATCCTGAAAAAAGACACTTATACGATATCAATCTATACAAAGAGTTATATGTTTCTCATTGAACACGAAGTTTTATACACTTACGCATGTAATCCATAAGTGTATGGAAATATCGAAGGATCCCAATTTACGTAAAATACGTCGAAGAAATGACATACCGATTTAAAATCGATCCAAAACACACCTAAATTGCACTGATATATGGATAAGTAATTTCAGCCAATAAAAATATAAACTTTGATAATCCCATGCTAACTTCTATTAAAGCTCGAATGTTCTCAAATTTTTAACATAAAAATTAACGAAACAAGTATTAACCATCATCGAATTGCTGTGCGTCGGCAGGATTATAATTCAACGCTTTGCAAAGCTGCGGTGTCCAGCTGAGTTTATCCTTTTCAGAGTAGCGTCCTTTCCAGCGTAAATGTGTCCAAGGATTTTTCAACATCAACAACTGTTTGCCCTAAAGAATAAGATATTCAAACAAACATTTTGTGATAAAACAGAAATGATCATGCAAAATAGAAATAACAATAAAAGTTATATATACTTCAATTTTTCTCAGATCTAATACGGCATATGCGTGTGCGTCAACTAGGCCAGTTCGATCAATCGTAAGTTGATCCATTTTACCAGTTGCCAGCGTAATCAGGCAATGCCCCTGGTGATATCTAAACAACAAACGGTTGCTTGTTTAAACAAATCTTAAGATGAAATTTTTATAGCTAAAATATGAAGTTAATTTTCAAGATAATCGTGATCATATGAATAACACTTACAAAGTAAAACAACTATGAGACACTTCGTTGCTTTCAATATGTGAAGACGGATGTGTGAAATGTGAAAAACAGCTATTCTTATATCTTTTCTTCTCGATTAGTCACAACTGCCAGGGACTAAATATATCATTTTCACTTCATATGTCTTCTTTCAAAACAATCTACAAACGGACCTCGTAAAAAGTTTTTCAAATACAGCGCCAGCATCGCTACTAGACCAGTCCGCTTTAACACTTATTCTTTCAGGTATCCAACCCGTTAATGCATGCATATCAATGCTCTGAAAATGATATCTCAGCATTCTGAAGCATAACCTCGTGGAATATCTTTTTATTTTTATTTGTTAACTTCAGGATATTACCGAATTTGAGCCTGGAAAATCGTACCCACCCATCACCTTCATGTAAGCCTTTTCCAGTAACGAAACCCATAATTCATTCCTGCAAAATATTCCAATGCTATCGCAAATTCAATACGACTGAAGTAAAACAAACTGTATAAAATTGGAAATACGAAAAGAATGCGAAGTGTCAAATTGTGAACTTTTGTTGACTATAGGAGCATAGGAAATCACCGCATTCTCCAATGGGAAATCGATCATCGATTACGACCTGAAAAACACAAATTAAGTTAGTCAACTAAGACTAACATTTCATTTAATATTTCGAAACGATGTAGCATTGGAAAATTTTTCTTTTTCCCATCATAGAAATCAGAAGAGGCCCTAATACAACGAAATTCGTTTAAACAAGTAAAAAAAATTTATCAGTAGTGAAAATGATGATATCCGATATGGTCACGAGCAACTGTTCATCATTCGGTGTAACTTATCTTTGGCAGCATCGCGATTTTATACCATACAGACCATGATATCAGGTAAAAAAGGACCAAGTATTGGCACTCGAAAAAAACTAGTGCATGGATATCATGCGAGAGCTAGGTTAGAACGACAACTGATAGAATGTTTACTTTAATATATTCTCTACCTGTGCTAGTCAAAAAGAACAGATAATCCAAATATATGTATGCGCATACAATCATGAGAGAAATCTTTCTTACCTTTCTCCAAACACCGTTGAAATGCATTTTGATCATATATTTTCCACAAGGATTATACAACGGCATGCCGGATTTACTCTGAGGATATATTATACTACAAAAAATAATTGCATTGTCTAATGATTTAAAGTATAACAACTTAGGAATATTACAAGAAATGACAAAAATGTTGACAAAAAAAGACTAATTGTGTTCCATCGACAAATTTCTCCTAAGTTACATTTCCAACCAGCAGAAAAGTTCGGGCTAGGTTTGTTCGACATCGTAGAAATCATATTTAGGAATATAAGAAAAATTTACAACGAAGAGAGGTTCCTGTAAGGAAAAAAGTTCACAAATACCTTGTCACCAGTGGCTTCTTGAAACGGCTTTCATATCGAGCTGATATGGCTAATGAAGCTACGAAAGAGCAATCGGAAACTATTGACTGAAACAACACTAGTACTCCAAAAAAAGAAAAAATTCCAAAAGCAAAAAAAAAATTTACTTTAAATTTTAAACATAGCATGAAAAAAGTATTAAGCGTTTTCTACCTTCTAATTACCTATTACTACAGACAGTTAATTTGACTTATAGATTGCTAACCATTGGTATGAAAACCAAAACTTTCCAATGCATTGAAATATATTATAACTTAGTTAAATGTGAAGTAGATTTTTAGTAAGTCTAGCATATTTCAGAACTACGTAATTATTCACCCACAAATGACGATATAGTGGGTCACAAGAACTTAGTGTTTTTCTTTTTTTCACTACTCTGATAAATGAACATGCAAACAAATAAATAAATGATTTTTTCTAAAAAAAAAGAAAAGAAAAACTAGGAGAATGCAAAAAACAACCTGTTTAATAGTACCACTATCAATCCGATCAATTACTTTTGGAGACTGCATAAACTCGTCTGGACGCATCCAACTTTTTAATCGTTTTGCCTGTTTATCAGATAAAGCCAGCAAACCATGCTTGTCACTGAAAATTTTAACAATAAAGATGACCAAAAATCTAAACCTAAAATGAATTCCGCAATTTTATTTAATTATAATTTTATTGAAACTAAGAATTCTTATGTTTACAAACTTACGTAAATGGGACCGGATAGGCAAAACGTTCTTTCAAATCGACAGCCAAAAAGGGGACATACTGCCTTCCATTAACGTTTGATGTTGCTGCCAATACTGTTAATTCGGATTTAGTAAGGCGATTACTGTCGCCATCTCCAGTTTTCCGTTTTATTGTTTTACTATTACTGGAGTTAGCAACCAATTGCTCAGAATTCGTGTTTATCTTCAAGTCAGATATTTCTATAAATAACTAGCATAGTCCATTTCACCATGTAAATAGGTTATTTTTACACAAATTAAACGAGGCAAGTTTGCCTCAATAAAATTTGTAGAATAAGCTGCCCCACCAAAAAAAATTACTTAAATTGGAGTAACTAATGAACTTTTTGTCTTGAGAAGTGTTTTACATTAAGGCCCAAAAAAACTCCAAAAGTTTTGCATGCATAAAGTGAAACGAAACAGTAATAAATATTTAGAGAGAAATAATGACAAAATATATAAAAAATAACGTACCATCCACAGGAGGTTCAGGTAATTCTAAGCTAGGACTTTCCTTTTGCTTCTCCTGAGTTTTCAGGACTTCTGCCCGATCCAAAGCCTTTTTAGCCAACTGACGCAATTTTCCAGCCATCGCAGCATCAGAGGATGCGTTCTTAAAATTATAAAAAAGTCAATTTAAATACTGAAATTCCCCTACCTAAGACGACATTAATCAATCATAAGTATAGACAAGTTAAACGAACCGAACTATTGATGCACAGCTCAGTGGCCAAAGAATACAACATGATGGCTTCGCCGGTATTTCCCGCTTCATCCTGATCCAATGCTTGATATAACAAAAACTCGGCACGTTCAAGATTAAGCTGCTGTTGACTTTTGATGTTGTCCGATTTCTTCGATGCACCTAACAAATTCATTTTCTTTTTACAGTAACTCAAAACTGTAATGCATGCAAGAATTACTAAATATACATCAAATATTTTAGCAAGCAAAACTAAAATTTATATAAACATGTAAAATTAGTAAATATATGTCAAATATTTTAGTAAGCAAAACTAAAATTTATATAAATTGAAAAATAATTTAGAAAAATATTTGCCTGGAAAATTTCGAAATTGTTCAATCACAAGCTAATGCAAATAATTACATGCATAAGTAGAAAGAAAAAAAAAAACCAACATACTTTGTGATCTGATTATTTCAGCACGTTTCACGTATTCTTCTGCTTTCTCTTTGTATGAAGGTGGGATTTTTTCTTGCCGTATCAGTTCCAGGATTGAATCAGCAGCATCCTTGGATATGAGTTATCATT